CCAAACCCAAAATTGATTGCATTTAACCACAATTCACACCTACTAGAGCCAAAGCCCCTTATTACCAACCATCATACTAGTCCACAACATCAAAATCATATGAAACCAGAAAATTCATCATAAAATGGAAAACTTCACTAAATCAAGCCAAACCAAGAAATAAATCATATATTCCAACACTCAAGCCACTTCTAAGCATACTATAACCATCATTAGGTGTAGTAGAGGTTCAAGCATCACTTACCAAGTATCAAGAGATGTAGAGAGGTGTTGGCCACCTTAGAAGCTTCAAACAAACTTCACTAATACCCTTACTATCACTAGAAGGAAAGATTGTATGGAGTAAAAACTAAGTTAAACACTTGATTTGGTGGATTTGGACAAGTTGGAAGCTTGAAATGTTGAAGAATTTTCTTCCTTCTTGCAAGTGAGAGGTTCGGCCACAATGAGAAGAAAAATGGTGAATTTTGTGATTTTTTTGAGATATATAATCCTTTGGTCCAAAAAGTCAAAAATGTGAATAGTATTTCTTAAGTCAACTCCAATGATCTTGTGACACTTGTCACTATCATAAATGCATTCCTATCCTTTCTTTTCTCTCTCTCATCAATCAAATCTCACTCTCTACTTATCTCTTAACGCCCGATAAATTTTTCACAGTATCCGAAACTTAACCTTATTGGCCGAATTTTTCCGAACTTTTCGCACTAGTGGGTCCCACATCCAATAGATAATCTTAATTTTCTAAAAATTCACCAATGCTAGAAAAAACATCTAAAAACTATAATTGCTCATAAAATTCACCAGGAAAATATTTCTAAGCCAGAAAATGAAAAAAAATTATGTAATTAAGGGGTAATAAACCCTAGGAAAAATATTAGGGTTTTACGGGTTCTCACAGTGTTACCAAGCACCGCCATTCTTTTGGCGAGGCATACCTGTTGTGTTTCAAAGCACCATCAGGGATGAAATTCTTGAACTGAACCTCTTTGATGAGGTATAGCCTGTTGTGTTACCAAGCACCGCCATTCTTTTGGCGAGGCATACCTGTTGTGTTTCAAAGCACCATCAGGGATGAAATTCTTGAACTGAACCTCTTTGATGAGGTATTGCCTGTTGTGTTACCAAGCACCGCCATTCTTTTGGCGAGGCATACCTGTTGTGTTTCAAAGCACCATCAGGGATGAAACTTTGACTTGAGGCTCTCTGGTGAAGTTTAGCCGTTGTGCTAGCTTGTTGTGTTATAAAGCACCACCAGGGCCAATTTCTTGAGCTAAGATCCTCTGGTGAAGTTTAGCCGTTGTGCTAACTTGTTGTGTTATAAAGCACCACCAAGGATGAAATTTTGAACTGAGGTTCTTTGGCGAGGTATAGCCGTTGTGCTAACCTGTTGTGTTGTCCAGCACCGCCATGGACAAAATCTTGCATCTGAGGCTCTGGTGAAGTATAGCTGAGTGCTAGCTTGTTGTGTTATAAAGCACCACCAGGGGTAATTTCTGACCTGAGATATCGTTATGTCCTGAATTGTTTTTCCAAATACCAGGGACTTTAAGTCCGATTTCGAGCCCTTTTTGTATATGTATCCAGTTACTCGTCTGACTATCAATTGGATCAAGATTATTTGATAAGTTGGATTGGAGTACTTTTAGTACTTGATTGTAATGAGTGATTCTTAGTATGTGATTGACCTTTGAGATATTTGATCTGATTAGTATTTGATTATGATAAGCGAGATTGAAATGATTCTTAATACGTGATCGACTTTCGAGAACTATTTTGATCTGATTAGTACAAGTTGGAATGTCGAGGACGACATTCTTTTAAGGAGGGGAGTTGTAACGCCCCGAGGCAGAAGAAAAGGGAAAAATTGCTGGTGAATAGTGTTTTGTGAGGAATCCGGCCAGAAGCCGTGCAAATTCCTTATATTTTTCTTAAAATTCCCTTTTCTTTGATAAATACCACTTTATAATGGCCCTACTACTCAATCACCCCACAATAAGTGCCAATGAACCTAGAAAATAGGGTTTCACACTTCGGTTTCAAGATTTGAGCAAATTAGGGTTTTCGCGATTTTTCCGCCGGATGAATTTTCGGGACGGAGCAAGGATCAAATTTGGTGATTAAAAGTGACTTTTAAGTGAAAAATAATATGTGAGTAGTAGCAATGATATAAGGTTAGTGAATGGGAAGTAAAAACCCTAGTACGTGTGTTTTTAAGAAAAACGGCGCGAACCGGCGGGTCCCGCGCATTACCGATTGAACGCACCACTTGACCACCATTTTTCTTACCAAACAAGTTTATTGACTTGTGAGCAAAATATCTTCTTAAATTGCAGCAGCTTTGACCGAAATTTGTGGCTCAAATGCAAGGAAGGAAAGAGAAAATTTTTGTGGTTAAGGTTAAGCCAAGTGTTGGCCAAACTTGTGGTTAGAATTAATTCTTACCTTTCTACCTTCTTATAAGACAAACTTAGCTTAATCTCCTTCATTATTTTCTGCATCTTGGCCGAGTAAGAAGAGAGAAAAAAGGGAGAGCAAGAGTTCACCATTTTCTTCTTGATTTGCTTCAACCCAAGTAACAAATCCAATTCTAAACCGATTAAAGTACTAAGTGTGAGTTGGGAAGCTTGAGGAACCAAGAAATATCAAAGGGGGTGAAGGATCACTCTATCAAGCCTTGCTTTTGAGGTACCAACATTTGATCATGATCTTTGTTGCTTTGAATCTTGCTTTAAGATGTGTTTTAGCTTAAGTTTTGGCTTGATTTCATGATTATGCAAGTGGGTGTGATGAATTTGGAAGTTTTCCCCTTTTATATGATGAACTAGGGCTTGAGGAATTTCTGCCCAATTTGTTGTATGATGCTTGTATGTTGCAATTAAGGTTGTATAAGGTGTTTTGGTAGTGATTAGAACAAGAAAATTGAGAAAGTTCCATTGATTGCAAAAAATTCCAGAATCTGGAAAATTTTCCCCAACATTCTGTCCGAATTTGTAACCCTATGTTAGAGGCCGAATTGGCCTTAGGTCAAATAATGAGAGTTGTATAGAATAGTATTTTATAGGTTCCTACAAAATTTCAGCTCAATCGGAGCAACGTAGGTCGTGAAAAGTCCAAAATACCCTTACTGTTTTAAGTTTTTTCCCAGCAGTCCGTGTGATCAGTTTGTCCAGTTTATCACGTTTTTTGACTAGGATCCGTACTGATTTAGCTTTTTTCCAAAACATGAAAGTTGTATTATTCTGACTTAGCTTTCAAATGCCTCTAAGAACACCAGAATTGGACTTTTGTAGCCTGAGATATGTCCATTACAGTGTAATGCGGTTAAACAGCCGACAAAGTGGCTTTTGGTTCTTTAATTTGAGGATTTGACTAGGTTACATTAGATACTGGACTAAGTGACCTTCATGAACATTGTAGCCCTGAGTCTTAGCTTCGAAACGGCATAGGTTGCGCCTCAATCCGATAAGCGTAGCCTCGGATATGTTATTTCCGTATCCATACGTCAAATCTGTCTTTTGCTAAATTGAATTTCTGCACTTGCTATTATTGTGAATCTTGATCTTATGATATTGTGAGCCTATGGAACGGCTCTTGACATGAATTGATGATATATGTGATGTTGGGTTTTGGTTGAGGAAAAATAATGAAGCCTAAATGGCTGGAAAATTAGGTAAACACAAAGGGCATGCTGCCCGAATTTTTACTCGAGAACTAGAAAACTATATTTGCAACTTGAGTGAAGGTTAAGTGATTACCACTTGAACTAGCGAGAACTTTTGCTACTTTGTTATCGATGGTTATACGTTAAAAACCTAAACGAACTTGTACTCTTGAGGAAAAGATATAATGGCCAATGTAAACTTGTATTTCCTTGTACTTTCAACTCAAGTATTGTTTCCAAGTATATATGCTACAAAAACCTTATGAGTTGAAAAGCGAGCAAGTGTTTCACGAATGCCTTTCAAATGAATTTCAATTGGTTGATTCTTATGAACGGAACGTTTAAGTTTCAAATCTTACTCGTGTTTCAAAGTTCTCAAATCGGATTTTTATCGCAGATCTGGACTCCAAATCTGGAGTATAATTGAACGTGACTACTTCAGGCACTATAGTTTGAGTGAGTGATCCCTCAACTATTTCCAAAGTTACTTTTGAACTAATTCTTGCATTTATTACTCCATTGCATATCATTTGGGTTTGGGTGTATGCCATGACATAATTTGGCTCCAATGAGTTCCTGGAAAGTCTTGTGCTTAGAACCAATGTCTCCACTATTGTTTACACATTCTTTGGAGTACGATGGCTCCTTACTTCTGTTTCATGGTTACCTGATCTAAACGAGCATTGGATATTTAAGTACAAGAACTTCACTGGCTCACATGAGCAATAAATGAACATTTGATTACTGCATCATGACATCATATCAATGCTTTATTGTGAAATATACTTGGCTGTTGATTTCACTGGTCACTCGCTGAGCTTCTAGCTCACCCCCTATTATCTTCTTCTCCCCACAGGGATCGAAGTAAAGGAAGAACTTGTTTTTGGATCTTTGTGTGGCTGGATGGCGTACATCTTGTATAGTTTAGTTTTAGTTTTGGTTTGTGTACTTTTGGGCTTGTATAAATATTTGGAATTGAATCGGATGTAAATCTACATTTTACGCTTAGAACTAGTTTCCGCTTCGCTTATGATATGTAATTTTGAAGAATTGGATGTATTATTTGAGTTGTACCTTGTAATTTACTTGAGAAATGTAGTAAGTGAGTGAGTCCCGGCGAGAGCTGGGCAGGCGGTCCGCTAAACCCTTTGGTTCGCCTTAGGGGGAGGTAGGGTCGTTAGAAATGGTATCAGAGCTTAGGCTTCAGATCTTTGTAGTGTATCCTAGGCTTAAAGTTTAGGATGCCGGACTGTGGGACTGGACTGTGTGGACTGGACTGTTAATTATGTGAGTTGTCGTAGCTGTTCACATACCAAGTGAAGGTTAGTATTGCTAGATGTACAGAAGTGAGATGATTCTTTGATAAAAGTGCCCAATCAAATGGAAGGTAATTAGTTTAAGGAAGTTGACTGTCTATAATACATATACAGATTTCGAATGTATACTCATGAATATATTGATATCCTTGTATAACTCGCTAGTGCTCTTTTCAACAGTCTGAAAAAGAATCTGAGAGCGAAGTGACAGGCTTATCTTACCTACTCAAACATTCTGTGCATCCAACTGCCAAGGGTAAGAGTTCAGCGATTGATATGTTACATATGTACACTACTGGTTGTTAGTCACCAATATTTTCAGAATGTTACATAAATTTTGGGTGTTTGTCTCCACAAGTATGCAACTTCCTTGACACAGTTATATGAAAACTTATATTTGCTCAACAGTTTCCAGAATTCTTCTAGTAGCATTACCCGCATGCTTAAGAAAAATTTTGATAACCTGGTTTTGCATGGAGTCCTGTAGTTGTACGTGGTGCCTGGTGTTGTAGGTGCTGCTTGTAGAATTTGTAGCTTTTTGAGTACTAACAGTTTATGATGTCTATTATTTATGTCCGTGGGTTTGGGAGACAACTTACACAATGTCATCAGTAATGTTGCTTCAAATTGCTATATAGAAATAAGGCAAAAGTTTAAGGGAACAACAACAACAATAAAATAAGTTGTTTAGAAGAAACATAATTGAAAGTGAACTTTTTGTTCAATATATGAAGCAAATCCTTTAACAAAAATTTACTTTATTATGCATATGCCTATATCTTTCCTTTGTTTGAGCAACTTGGGGATATTGTTATTGCCCAAAGGATAGGTATATTATTCCATGCATACAATTTGTGTCCACTTTCCAGTTATAAAGCTAATTGTTTGTGTTGTTTATACCCTTAATCGGTTATTGGCAATTCTTGAGACCGCCACAGATTAGTTAAATTTTCACTGTACGTGCACTTATGTACAGAAAGACAGCCTGCATTTCTTTACCTCTAAGCTGAGGGAAAGCACATTAAGCATGTGCTGAATGTTTTGCATTTTCAAATTTAGAATTATTCTGTTCTTGTGAATACATTTTTGTATGGGTATGTGAAGAAATCTTGAAGTTCTTAGACTCAAGACAAAATGATGGCCCAGGTTTTATTCTTTTCCACCGGTGACCAAATTCCCTAAAAGCAGCAGTTGTTGCTGCTGTTAGTTGTTGTGAATGTGTTGTTCCAGTTGGCTGGCCTCTCTTTTCAGGTATATTTAGCACTTGATCCCTTTAAAGTGTTCCTAATCTATACAATCTAGCTGTACAGTTTTCTCTTTTTGTACGCTTAGAATATTTGTTCTGTTGTGTACACTGATTTCTTGTGGGAATAGATCAATCATAAAACTGAATTAAATTAGCTTTACTTCTGAGAACTAAAGTTAGTATTGGAATAAAAAAATTGGTATCAATAATACTGCTGGCTTCTTTGGGAATTTATGGATACTAAAATTTGTAACTGAGCTTATTAGTCCACTTTGATGTTAAATTGGTTGCTGTGCAAAAGGATATTGTAGATTCAGGTAAAATGGCATTTGTTCTTGTTTGAACCCCAAAAAACCCAAAATAAATAAATAAATTAAACTCAACCCTGGAACAAGATGTCTAATTATTCCTACATCTATGTGATCAGTTTTTTGCTGCCTCTAATGTGTTGATCTCCTTTTCTATTATAATCTGGTTCATCACGGATGGGAATGTATGATTGAGTTCACGATTAACTGCTTTGATTTCTCACTTGATATATGGTTGAATAATCTACTTTCAATTGTTCAAAATCTGAGCAGTAAAATTTGATGAAACACATAATTCTAGATGCAAATTGGTTTTTTTCTGTTTTCCTATTCTGATCTGTTCTGTAATAAAGTGCTGCCATATTCCATATGAAGGATAAGAAGAAGCATGTTTTGCAGTTTTGGAAGAGTATTCCATCCTCCATATTCTCAATGAATTGTATTACTTTTGAAGTTTTGGTGCAGGAAAGGTAAATGCAGCTTGATATAGCTAAGCTTTCTCCTTCCAATAGGAACTTCTTTCAATCTAACTGATTAAGTGGATTTCTATTCGAGTTCTTCCTTTTTGTGTATACTACACAATCTGTGGTAAGTAGGAAGTATGATTTGTCGCATTGGTTGGGTACATCTCTTCCTATACTAGACCATGGAGCAGGAATGGTGAGTTATTTCTCAGCAATTATATTCAACATTTATAACATACTAGTTTCTGCTATGAACCTTGGACACGTCATGATAATGTTGATAGCCATCTAGGTACTCATATGAACTTGAAGTTGGTGATCCCACTATGCTACTCTCCAGTTCTTCCTTTTTGGATATACTGCATCATCTATAGTAAGTATGATTTGTGGTGTTAGTGGGGTACATATCTTCCTAGACTAGACCATGGAGCAGGAATGGTGAGTTATTTCTCAGCAATTATATTCAACATTTATAAATTATAGTTGACATTTTTAACTTACTAGCTTCTGCTATTAACTTCAGTCACTTCATGATAATGTTTATAGCCGTCTAGGTACTCGTATGAACTTGAACTTGGTGACACCAATATGCTACACTCAAGACCCCAAGCTTGACCTCGATGGGTATAGGTTAATGGTCTCCTTACCAACCCTGCTTCATCTCTCTACTTAGAATAGCATAATATACCAAATTCCTTTTATCTACTGGTTTTCTTCATTGTTTGTTCTGTATTTCATATTATCATCATAAAACCTGTTCTACTGGATTTTCTAAAGAAAGCCTGTGAGATTTCTTTGGACTTGCATTTCTTTAGACTAAAAGGTGTCCTGACATGTAATTGGAGGACTTTTAATGTATTCTTACACTAAGACAAGGATGCTTCACAATGATTTAACTTAATCTTGGGTGCTGGCAGGCAAAGGAAACATGCACAAACTTTTTCTTGTTTTGTGTAAGGTAATTCTTTGAGTTTCGGTATGTGACTGTTAATCCTCCCAATTGATGTCAGAATTTTGAACATCTGAGTTGTTGGAGTGGTGAATATTACATACTTGGAGCTAGAATTCCCATCTGTTTCTTGAAGTTCCCGTTGTTGAATGCTTGTCTTTCCTCTTGCTTCACTATTTTGAATACTTTAGCATTGCAGTATTAGAATGAACTTCACCAGATTTTTTTCACTGCTCTGAGCTGTTTTCTTCTTGTTTGCATGTAAATTCAAGGAAAGGATGCACCTGGATGTAAAGGGTAGAACCCCCAAGTATTTTAAAGTGCTCTCTCTGGCACTCAGTGCCAAAATTGTCAACGAAAGAGAACAGCGAATTTAATGCTTTGTTATAATGTGTTAAAATTGAGGAGCCAATCGTTACTTTTTAATCTTGATGAGCTTCTTGCAATTATCATGAACCTCAAGAGTGGCATGCAAAATTATCCCAAGGGATAATTATATTTTACGGTGGGCAAAACTCACAATGCAATCGTCAAGTAAAACTCCCCTACATCACGTGTCAATTCGTCTGTAGTATGGAGACCCTTTTATTTATTTTTTTTACAGGGAATATTGATCGTTTAGAAGAATTTTGTTTAATGCCCGTAGGATTGATCACATTGTTGTAAAATGGAAAGCCAAAAAATAAAGAGCTAGAGGAATGGATGGATTAATTAGTATCTGTTTCAAAATTAGGGGTCTGCTGGGGAGTGTATTTTTTTGGGAATATATTACACAAGTTTTTTGTAAACTTTGTCCACAGTAACCTCAGAAATATCCCAAAATTTTTAAAATATACATCCCAAAACATCTTTCCTTTCCTTTCATCGGGGGAGAAGAAGGAAAAAGAAAAGGAAAATAAAAGAAAATAAAAAATAAAAAAGTTCACTTTCTCCACAAAAGTTTTTTTACGAATTTTACAGTAAATTAGAATAAAGTTTTATATAAATATCCTAAAAAATACACAAATATTCAAAAAAAAATACACCATTGAAATGGACACTATAATGAAAAAAAATTAGTTAGTTGTACGTATAACTTGACTATTGGTATAAAACTTTGAGTCTAACATGTACTAGACAACTATTTCACTTTGTCTTGTGGATAGCTAAGCCCATTCATTAGATACGATTGGCAATTTATTAAAAAAAAAAAAAAGAAGCTCTCTATCTTATATTTGACAATTGTGTTTGATTTTACTTAATAATATCATGTTTGCAATAATGCGAAAAGGTCTAGCTCCTGTTGAAGAAAGATGGGATAGAAGAAAGATGGGACAAGGTAATGAATCAAGATGAGAGCAAGTTGGTAATTGATATGATTAACTCAAATGAGATCATGGATTATCAAATGGGGCCAATCATCGAAGATATCATAGCTATGAAGAGCAGGTTCCAATATATCTCTTTTACTCATGTTAAGAGATTAGGAAACAATGTGAGTCATTTGCTAGCAAAGTTTGCTATGAAACTATGTAATGTTGTTAGATGGAAAGAGTGTTTTCTCCTTTAATTGTAGTTTGCTAGAAGCATCCCAGTGTGATGGATGTTAGGACAGTGGCCCAAACTATGTAATTGTTATTCCAAGTGATATGAAATTGTTGCCGTTTTGGAAACCGAAAAAAAAATTCGTGTTTTAATTAGCTTGACCTTTAAGGATGATTACGTAGTTTATATTTTTCTTTTGGACTAGAATTCTAAACTTGCTCGATTATTTGATAAGAATCAATAACAGGTCATAAATCCCGATATTCACCTAGGACGTGTGCTGCTGCAGCTGCAAGAGTTGCAATATCTTGTGAATCTTATCTTAGGAGAAACTTAAAGGAATGAGAAATGTATTTCGTGCAAACTTCAAAATGATTGAAGAGTAAAGTCCACGGCAAGAAAATTTGGAGATTGATTCACGTATAATTGTATGAACAAGGAAAAATTTCTCATGAATAAAAGAAACTACTGCTGTCACCTCCAGACGCCACTACCATTGAATGTTAGCACAAAAAATACACAGCGCAAAACATTAATACTTTTGCAAACCAAGAAACAAGTAAGTTCATACACAATGGAATGGAAAAAACAAGCTGTGGGACTTTGATTGGCTTTGATCAAATCACAAACGTAAAAGTCTTAGTAGCAAGGCTGGAAAAATTTCACGTGTAAACCATAGGTCCATCACTGCTCCCGAAGTTAGGAGAGAAAACAAATTGTGCGGTTGGGAATTACAACTTTCTTAGGCCAAACCATGTGGTCATAGGCCCGTACACAGAACTAATCGTACCAATTTTAAATCTCACTTGTTTATCATAAACTTATTTTAATCTAATACCCAAAATATAACAATGTCTCTCCTTGAGAGCAAAATTCTCTCTGCTCTAGAGAGAGACATCCCCCCAGTGGGTGTTCTCGAATTTTTTAAAATTTAAAATATCAATCTTCAACTGCTAAGCCAAACACTGAGTCTTGAGAGCTAGAATACTCCATCCCTGATCATTCAAAATACTTCACAATTCTAGACAATGTAGGAAAGCCTTGCAATAGACTAGACTAAGAGCTATGAGTTTTTCCTAACCGGATCGAATGCGATTTAGAATGAATACTAATCTAACTGAAGCGCTGATAAACAGAGCTAAGGATTTGTCAAGCTAATCAACGGTTTGATTCTAAACTCTTCTCTCTCCAGCTATGTCTACACAGATCTGAGATAATATTTTGCATATTGTGCTTGTTTGGAGTCTTGTTAGAGCTTAATGATGTCCTTTAATTAGTGGTAAATGTTAGTCTGTCTTTGTTTGTTTTGTTTTCATTTCAGTGGTTTGTGACTTAATAGAGTCTTATCCTGTTGATTTCATCTATCTGTTGCTATCATCTTTCTATTTTCAACTGGTAATACACTAGTGAGCCTGCCTGAAAACTTGTAGCGTGTGGTAGTCCTCAGTCATGGAGGAGTTGGAGAAAGTGATGAAAAAGTTTTCTCCAACTGATGTTGAACAAAATGGAATCCATTTGGAAGATTTGGGTGTAGTTAGTGGAAGGGAGGAATGTGGTTTGAGCTTGCTAGGGAAAGTGTATGGCGAAAAAATGGTTAATATTACGGGGATAAGAAGTTTTGCTTGTAATATATGGAAATACCCAACGAACTTGAAAATAGTGGAGCTTGGCCCAAACCTTTTCCAATTTACCTTTCAATC